TCGGGAAATGGATCTTGTTACAAAAAAACTTGTCGAACGAAAGTTGTAGCAAATTTTATTCTTAACAATATAGCTCTGTTTTATTTTTGCTTTCAGATGAGTCAATATCGAGAAATATATCAAAATATGAAAATTGGATGAGTTTATTGCATTTATTCTGAACGTTTAAAACCTTATAGACTCCTGACGATGGTCTATGTCGAAACTGGCAGAGTTAATAAATTTATCAAATATATTAGAGTTTAAACATTTATTTTTAAAAACACATACAATAAACCAATATGGATGAAAACCCATTTACCTATTATTGCATAATTGTAACATTCGGGAAACGGAGCATATTACATAAAAGTTTTGAAACAATAGTTGTAGTAAATTCTGTTCTTAACAATATTGCTCTCTTTTATTTTTGCTCTCAGATGCATCAATATCGAGAAAAATACGAAAATATGAAAATTAGATGAATTTGTTGCGTGTTCCAGCTGTTAATGGTAACACTCGGGAAACAGAAGATATTACAAAAAAACTTTTGAAATGAAAGTTATAGCAAATTTTATTCTTAACAATATTGCTCTCTTTTATTTTTGTTCTCAGATGCGTCAATATTGAGAAAAATACGAAAAATTAAAAAATTGATGAATTTTCTTGTTTTACTTAGCTAATGGTAATATTTGGGAATAAGAGCATGTAATCAAAAAGCTTTTAGAACAAAAGTTGTAGCAAATTTCGTTCTTAACAATATTGCTCTCTTTCACTTTTGCTCTCAGATGCGTCAATATTGAGAAAAATACGAGAATTTAAGAAATTGATGAATTTTCTTGTTTTACTATTAGCTAATGATAATATTTGCTAATCGGAGCGTGTTATCACAAAACTTTTAGAACAAAAGTTGTAGCAAATTTTGTTGTTAACAATATTGCTCTCTTGCGTATTTGCTCTCAGATGCGTCAATATTGAGAAAAATCCGAAAATTTTAAAAATTGATGAATTTTCTTGTTTTACTATAAGCTAATGGTATCATTTCGGAATCGGAGCATGTTATCAAAATACCTTTATAACAAAAGTTGTAGCTAATTTAATTCTTAACAATATTGCTCTCTTGTATATTTGCTCTCAGATGGGTCAATATTGAGAAAAATACAAAAATTTGATGAATTTCGTTGTTCCTACCGGAATAGAAAATGAAATTAGTTAAATTCAAATTTATTTTATTGTATTTCCAATCTTATCGTAAATGTCAATATTTTTGTTTTTGAAATTGAAGCGCACGTGTGACGCATTTTGTCTCACTTCTTGTCCGTCGTTATCACTCTTAATCGGCAAGATTTCAATCTTCCGCTAGTCGTCGTATCGTCTGCATCGTGTGCCCTCAATTTCCACCACGCCACGTGTAATTTACGCCGCGTTCTTGTCTGTACGCTTTATTTTATTTACCTTTATTTACATTCTTTCGCTCATTCTTTATAATTTTCTTTATTAATTGCACGGTTTGCATTCATTGCAACCGCTTTCACATTAAAGTTATATTTTTGATTTTATTAATAGAATTTAATTATTATTTTATTAACCGTTTATTAATCATTATTAACCGGCACCTTGCTTTTAGTTCGGCAATTTTTCTTTTTTGTACGAACATTCCTTGTTTTACTATTAGCTAATGGTAACATTCGGAAATAGGAGAATGTTATAAAAAAACTTTTAGAACAAAAATTGTTGCAAATTTTATTCTTACCAGTATTGCTCTCTTGCACTTTTGCTCTTAGATACGTCAATATTGATATAGATACGAAAATTTTATGAATTTGTTGCTTTTTCATGTCATTAAAGGTAACATTCGGGAATCAGAGAATGTTATAAAAGAACTTTTAGAACAAAAGTTGTAGCAAATTTTATTGTTAACAATATTGCTTTCTTGCACTTTTGCTTTTAGATACGTCAATATCGAGTTAGATATGAAAATATGAAAATTTTAGGAATTTGTTGCTCTTTCATGTTATTAAAGGTAACATTCGGGAATCAGAGAATGTTATAAAAAAACATTTAGAACGAAAGTTGTAGCAAATTTTGTTCTTAACAATATCGCTGTCTTGTATATTTGCTCTCAGATGCGTCAATATTGAGAAAAATAGGAAAATTTTAAAAATTGATGAATTTTCTTATTTTACGATTAGCTAATGGTAACATTTGAGAATCGGTGCATGTTATCAAAAAACTTTTATAACAAAAGTTGTAGCAAATTTTGTTCTTAACAATATTGCTATCTTGTATTTTTGCTCTCAGGTGCGTCAATATTGAGAAAAATACGAAAATTTTAAAAATTGATGAATTTTCTTGTTTTATTATTAGCTAATGGTAACATTTGGGAATCGGAGTATGTTATCAAAAAACTTTTAGAACAAAAGTTGTAGCAAATTTTATTGTTAACAATATTGCTCTCTTGCACTTTTGCTCTCAGATGCGTCAATATTGAATAAAATACGAAAATTTAAAAAATTTATGAATTTTCTTGTTTTACTATTAGCTAATAACATTTAGGAATCGGAGCATGTTATCAAAAAACTTTTACAACAAAAGTTGTAGCAAATTTTGTTAGTAACAATATTGCTCTCTTGTATATTTGCTCTTAGGTACGTCAATATCGAGAAAAATACGAAAATTTGAAAATTTGATGAATTTTCTTGTTTTACTGTTAGCTGATGGTAACATTTGGGTATTGGAGCATGTTATCAAAAAACTTTTAGAATAAAAGTTGTAGCAAATTTAGTTCTTAACAATATTGCCCTCTTGTATATTTGCTCTCAGATGCGTCAATATTGAGAAAAATACGAAAATTTGAAAATTTGATGAATTTTCTTGTTTTACTGTTAGCCGATGGTAACATTTGGGTATTGGAGCATGTTATCAAAAAACTTTTAGAATAAAAGTTGTAGCAAATTTAGTTCTTAACAATATTGCTCTCTTGTATATTTGCTCTCAGATACGTCAATATTGAGAAATATACGAGAATTTCAAAAATTGATGAATTTTCTTGTTTTACTATTAGTTAATGGTAACATTTGGGAATCGGAGCGTGTTATCAAAAAACTTTTATAACAAAAGCTGTAGCTAATCTTATTGTTAACAATATTGCTCTCTTGTATATTTGCTCTTAGATGCATCAATACAGAAAAAAATACGAAAATATGAATGTTCACGCAGGTAAAAATAAAAGGTGACGAAAAACAAAAGAGAAGGGGTGCTTCAAAAATTTCAAAGAAAATAAAATATTTTGTAGAAATGGAATGAATAAATTTCTTACTCGTAATCACAATACTTTTATTATAATTTTCGATAATAAAAAATGGTAACGCATTTTAGTTACGACCGATCTTCGCACGATAATAATCTCTTGAAAACTTTATTCTTCTCTCAAATCTTAATAATTTAAGTGGAGGTAGCCAAGTACACACGCCCACCGCCGGATGGCACTGCGCGGATTAAACAATGAAAATTGGATGAGTTTGTTGCTTTTTCTAATTGTTAATGGTAACACTCGGGAAACAGAAGTTATAACAAAAAAACTTTTGGAACGAAAGTTATAGCAAATTTTATTCTTAACAAAACTGCTCTCTTTCATTTTTGCTCCCAAATGCGTCAATATTAAGAAAAATACGAAAATATGAAAATTTGACGAATTTTTTTGTTTTACAATTAGCTAATGGTAATATTTCGGATTCGGAGCATTTTATCAAAAAGCTTTTATAATAAAAGTTGTAGCAAATTTTGTTGTTAACAATATTGCTCTCTTGTATTTTTGCTCTCAGATGCGTCAATATTGAGAAAAATACAAAAATTTAAGAAATTAATGAATTTTAATGTGGTGCTTGTTAAAATGATTAAAAAATGTGTTATTTCGATTAATTAAGATTAAAAAAGTGACTGGTTGAATAAAATTAGGCTATAATCGAAGAATGATTAATGTGAAGTAATTGAGGCATATCAGTGTCCATTAACTTTAATTTAATTTAAATTTCTAGTTTATGATATCATACAAAAATTATAAGATCATATTATTGAAATTTTGAAATATCGAGGAAAATACAAAAATATGAAAATTTGATGTAATTTCTTGTTTTACGATTAGCTAATGGTAACATTTCGGAATCGGAGCATGTAATCAAAAAATTTTTAGAACAAAAGTTGTTGCAACTTTTGTTCTTAACAATATCGCTCTCTTGTATATTTGCTCTCAGAAAATTTAAAAAATTGATGAATTTTCTTGTTTTACTTAGCTAATGGTAATATTTGGGAATTGGAGCATGTTATCCAAAAACTTTTATAACAAAAATTGTTGCAAATTTTGTTCTTAACAATATTGTTCTCTTATATATTTGCTTTCAGATGCGTCAATATTGAGAAAAATGCGAAAATATGAAAATTTGAAAAATTCGTTGTTTTACTAGTAATTAATGGTAGCATTCGGGAATCGGAGCATGTTACAAAAAAACTTTTAGAACAAAAGTTGTAGCAAATTTTATTCTTAACAATATTGCTCTCTTGCATATTTGCTCTCAGATGCGTCAATATTGAGAATAATATGAAAATTTAAAACTTTGATGAATTTCTTTGTTTTACTATTAGCTAATGGTAACATTTGGGAATCGGAGCATGTTATGAAAAAACTTTTAGAACAAAAGTTGTTGCAAATTTTATTCTTAACAATATTGCTCTCTTGCATATTTGCTCTCAGATGCGTCAATATTGAGAATAATATGAAAATTTAAAACTTTGATGAATTTCTTTGTTTTACTATTAGCTAATGGTAACATTTGGGAATCGGAGCATATTACAAAAAAACTTTTAGAACAAAAGTTGTAGCAAATTGTGTTCTTAACAATATCGCTCTCATGTATATTTGCTCTCAGACGCGTCTAAATCGAGATATTCGATCTTTATTTCTTGCTCAACAAAATATAAATAAAACATTAAACGTTCGTAAAATCGTGTTTATTTTAAAAACATATTTTTAAAAACTGCAAATCTTTAAAAAATCTTATTCTTAAAATCCTAAAACACCACAAATTTAATTTTTCCCATTCCTAACCGTTTCTTTCTCATTACAATCAGTTTCCTCTTTATTCTCCTCGACATTTTCCACTTGAACCGCTTCTTTGCTCAATTCTTGAGCACCCAATTCCTCGTTATTATTACTTTGGGTGTTATTACTCGTCCCCGCTTGTTTATTATCGTTCTTCAAATCATCCAAAACATTCCTAGCCAATTCCCTTTCGTTATATCGTTCCCTCAACGCCGTAAACAAGCACAATTGCGTTTCATACTCCCGTTTTAACTCAACATTCATGCTCACCATCTTCTCTAATTTCGAATGGATCAACTTATTCCTTTCCGATTCGGTCCCAATTTTCGACTCCATCGATGATAATTTATCTTGGAGATGAGTCACCTCGACGTTTCGTATTTCGAGCAAATCTTTTGTGATTCTCACCACTTCTCTTAACGACTCGACTTGTTGGTGAAGAGCCTCAATTTGTAATTCTTGGTTTTTACAGACTTTGGTTTTTTCGAATATAATCGATTTAGCTTTTGTTAACATCTCTTCTGATTTTTGTTTGATTTCATCTACAGCTTGGTTCTCAGATGCTGATTTTAACTGGGATTTGCGACTTTCTCCAAGTTGAGCTTCTAACTCAACCACTCGAGCTTTTAAACCATCTCTTTCGTCAGTTCGAGCCTAAATAAACAAATTTCGTTTAAAAATTAACTTCCCTTGCATAAATTTAACCCAATACTTTTAAATCGTTCTCTAAAGTGAGCAATCTTAAGCTGGTGTGGGATAATTTTTGCTCGAAATCTCCAATCATGTTCACCAAACGTTCTTGTTCTTCCTTCCATTCAATTAAATCCCCTTTTTGGGGCTAAAATTAACTCAATTAATTTAATTAAAATTATAATTTGATAAATTTTTACCTCAATTTCGTTTTGGTTCGTCGATGAAGCCATTTTTTGGTGTTAAAGGAACGAAATGCGCGTTTTGACTGCGATATTTTTAGATATTTTCCCCGGGGAACATTTTTATTAATAGAACTCGGGATGTTTTAAAATAGCGCGTGGTGACGCTTGACGTTTAAATTCGAATTTCCCCCCAAAAATCTAACCTCACGTTTTCATTTTGACAATCGATTTGAGATTTAAAACCGGATTCGATTTAATTAAGGGTTTTTTAGAACGCAAAAATTAATTAATTAAGTAATATAACGCATCTGGGAGCAAAAATGAAACAGAGCAATATTGTTAAGATTAACATTTGCTACAACTTTTATTATAAGAGTTTTTTTGTAACAACCTCCATTTTTCGAGTGTTACCATTAACAACTAAAAAAGCAACAAATTAATCCATTTTTTATATTTTCGTATCTATCTTGATATTGACGTATCTAAGAGTAAAAGTGCAAGAGAGCAATATTGTTAAGAACAAAATTTGCTACAACTTTTGTTATAAAAATTTTTTGATAATATTCTCCGATTCGCAAATATTACCATTAGCTAATAATAAAACAAGGAAATTCATAAAATTTTTAAATTTTCGTATTTATCTCAATATTGACGCATCTGAGAGCAAAAATGAAAGAGAGCAATATTGTTAACAATAAAATTTGCTATAACTTTAGTTGGAAAAGTTTTTATGTAATATGCTCCGTTTCCCAAATGTTACCATTATGCAATAAATTCATCCAATTTTCATATTTTCGTATTTGTCTCGATATTGACGCATCTGAGAGCAAAAATGAAAGAGAGCAATATTATTAAGAATAAAATTTGCTATAACTTTCAATCCAAAAGCTTTTTCTAATAACTTCTGTTTCCCGAGTGTTACCATTGACAATTAGAAAAAGTAACAAATTCATTCAATTTTTATATTTTCGTATTTTTCTCGGTATTGAGGCATCTGACAGCAAAACTGAAAGAGAGTAATATTATTAAAAATAAAATTTGCTATAACTTTTGTTGGAAAAGTTTTTTTGTAATATGCTTCGATTCTGAAATGCTACCATCAACAGCTTATAAAACAACAAAATTCATCAAATTTTCATAATCTCGCTTCTTTCTCCATATTGAAGCACCTGACAGCAAAACTGAAAGATAACAATATTATTAAGAATTAAATTTGCTACAACTTTGGTTTACAAAGTTTTTTTGTAACATAACCCGATTTTCAAATGTTATCATGAGCAACTTGTAAAATAACGAAATTCATCAAATTTTCATGTTTCTGCTTCTTTCTCCATATTGAGATATCTGACAGAAAAAGTGAAAGAGAGCAATATTGGTAAGAACAAAATTTGCTACAACTTTTGTTATAAAAGTTTTTTGATAACATTCTCCGATTCGCAAATGTTACCATTAGCTAATAATAAAACAAGGAAATTCATCAAATTTTCGTATTTTTCTCAATATTGACGCATCTGAGAGCAAAAATACAAGAGAACAATATTGTTAATAACAAAATTTGCTACAACTTTTGTTATAAAAGTTTTTTGATAACATGCTTCAATTCCCAAATGTTACCATTAGCTAATAGTAAAACAAGGAAATTCATCAAATTTTTAAATTTTCGTATTTTTCTCAATATTGACGCATCTGAAAGCAAAAATACAAGAGAGCAATATTGTTAACAACAAAATTTGCTACAACTTTTGTTATAAACGTTTTTTGATAACATGCTCCGGTTCCCAAATGTTACCATTAACTAATAATAAAACAAGAAAATTCATAAAATTTTTAAATTTTCATATTTTTCTCAATATTAACGCATCTGAGAGCAAATATACAAAAGAGCAATATTGTTAAGAACAAAATTTGCTACATCTTTTGTTCTAAAAGTTTTTTGATAATACGCTCCGGTTTCTAAATATTACCATTAGCTAAGTAAAACAAGAAAATCCATCAAATTTTAAAATTTTCGTATTTTTCTCAATATTGACGTATCTGAGAGCAAATATACAAGAGAGCAATATTGTTAATAACAAAATTTGCTACAACTTTTGTTATAAAAGTTTTTTGATAACATGCTCCGATTCCCAAATGTTACCATTAGCTAATCATAAAACAAGGAAACTCATGAAATTTTTAAATTTTCGTATTTTTCTCAATATCGACGAATCTGAGAGCAAATATACAAGAGAGCAATATTGTTAAGTACAAAATTTGCTACAACTTTTGTACTAATAGTTTTTTGATAACATGCTCCGATTCCCAAACATTACCATTAGCTAATCGTAAAACAGGGAAACTCATGAAATTTTTAAATTTTCGTATTTTTCTCAATATTGACGCATCTGAAAGCAAAAATACAAGAGAGCAATATTGTTAAGAACAAAATTTGCTACAACTTTTGTTATAAACGTTTTTTGATAACATGCTCCGATTCCCAAATGTTACCATTAACTAATAATAAAACAAAAAATTCATAAAATTTTTAAATTTTCATATTTTTCTCAATATTAACGCATCTGAGAGCAAATATACAAAAGAGCAATATTGTTAAGAACAAAATTTGCTACAACTTTTGTTCTAAAAGTTTTTTGATAATACGCTCCGGTTTCCAAATATTACCATTAGCTAAGTAAAACAAGAAAATCCATCAAATTTTAAAATTTTCGTATTTTTCTCAATATTGACGTATCTGAGAGCAAATATACAAGAGAGCAATATTGTTAATAACAAAATTTGCTACAACTTTTGTTATAAAAGTTTTTTGATAACATGCTCCGATTCCCAAATGTTACCATTAGCTAATCATAAAACAAGAAAATTCATCAATTTTTTAAATTTTCGTATTTTTCTCAATATCTACGAATCTGAAAGCAAATATACAAGAGAGCAATATTGTTAAGTACAAAATTTGCTACAACTTTTGTACTAAAAGTTTTTTGATAACATGCTCCGATTCCCAAATGTTACCATTAACACTAGAAAACAAATAAATTGTTCAAATTTTCATATTTTCGTATTTTTCTCAATATCGACGGATCTGAGAGCAAATATACAAGACAGCAATATTGTTAAGAACGAAATTTGCTACAACTTTTGTTATAGAAGTATTTTTGTGACATGCTTCGATTCCCAAATGATACCATTAGCTGATTGTACTGGACACATGAGTTGTTGTTCATTTTATTATACATTTTATTATTGAAAAATTAAATAACAATACGTGTTGGAGTCCAGTACATTTACTTTAGTATTTTAGATAAATCAGCAATATTAGTAAGTAAGTTAAATAGGTTTATTAGCATGTGGAAGGAGAATAGAATAGAATAAGTCGTCGATGCGTTAACACGAAAATGTTAGTTATAAGTTATAAGTATTACTAAATAAACACAGTTATATAAAATCCAAAAAGCCTTTTTCTCCTCTCTCGAGGAATCTGGCATCATAAATAAGTTGATCATTACATGATAGTAAAACAAGGAAAATTCAGCAAATTTATCGTATTTTTCTCAATATTGACGCATCTGAGAGCAAAAATACAAGATAGCGATATTGTTAAGAACAAAATTTGCTACAACCTTTGTTGTAAAAGTTTTTTGATAACATGCTCTAATTCCCAAATGTTACCATTAGCTAATAGTAAAACAAGAAAATTCATGAAATTTTTATATTTTTCTCAATATTAACGCATCTGAGAGCAAAAATACAACAGAGCAATATTGTTAATAACAAAATTTGCAACAACTTTTGTTCTAAAAGTTTTTTGATAATATATTCCGATTCCCAAATGTTACCATTAGCTGATAGTAAAACAAAGAAATTCCTTGCTTTTTTAAATTTTCGTATTTTTCCTAATATTGACGCATTTGAAAGCAAAAACACAAGAGAGCAATATTGTTAAGAATAAGATTAGCTTATGACGCCAGGTGCGTTAAAAGATTTTAAATCGAAACAACAAAAAAAATAACGTAATTTTCAACAAGGACAAAACTAGTTTTATCACCCTGAGATGTACGCGAGTCCTCGACCGGCTCAGTGAAGAAGGGAGGGGTATTTATATGGCGCCACACAGTTAACCCCGCGTACAACACGAACTGTGACGTGAGATGATGGAGTATGGTGATATAAACAAATAACACAACAAAACATAAACGCTCAACAAAATAGGTTTTGAGTTGCAGACAAAATTTATTAAAACTCCCGTAAATAACAGGTAAGTAAAAAAAA